GCGTTCGGTTTTGCGGGGCGAGGGTCCGCGCTCTGGGCAGCCTGCGTGCGTAGGGCGTGGGCAGGGATGGGGGTCCAGCATCTGCCGTCTCCGCCGAGGCGAGGCGGTGGCCGCCTGGGTCTTGCGCGCTCGGGGACGCCGGCCCGGCTGGGCTGTGCGGGGCGCTGGGAGGCGGCTGGGGAGGGTCGAGCAGGGTCCTTTGTGTGCCCCGCCTCTCAGCGGCCTGGGCGCGGCGGTTCGGAGCCAGGCACCTGCCGGCCGCCGGGGAGGGATGGGAGAAGCTGGGTGGGAGGGAGCAGGGAGGCTCGCGTGGGCTTTGTACCTTGAGCTGCGAGTACCCGGAGACTGGGAGGAGACTGGCGCTTCGGGATGGTGACGGGGTTAAAAGGTCGACGGTGGCCGGGGATCCCACGGGGAAAGTTGGAGAGGACTGCTTGCGAGAGGGGGAGGCAGAGAAGCAGATAGGAGGCTGTGAGGTTTTAGTTTTGTAGTCTGTAGAGAGTCTTGAAGTTTGGGGAAAAGTTTTAATGGAAATTACGATCACGGCTAGGAGCTCTGGGATTCTAAATATAAATATGGTGGCGGTATCTATGGGGCCGAGTTCTGTCGGTCCACGGAGATGGGAAGACAGCATTGTTTCAGAAGAACGGATCCTGTCGTCTGAAATTACGGCGATGGCTTGTATTTGTTCCTTAGCTCATTAAACTTTATTTGGGTAAGATTTTGCTGCTGGGGAATTTCATTGGGGGAGTTTGCTGATGATTTTGTGTACTGTCTTGGGTTCAGTGAAAGTTACCGATGAAGTAGTAATTAACTGGATAGTCTTAAAGCTTTTGATTGTAATACAAAGTACATGATATACGGGAAAATAGTTTATTAAAGGTTAGGAAATGCAGGGCATGCCCAGTGGGGTGCTTTTTTCCCCTTAAGGTGGGCAAGGAGGCATTCTTAGTCTTCCATGAGTATTAGTTCTTCAACAGGTATTTATTGGTGCCTAGTAGGTTTTGTGTGAAGCCTTGGGGTGTGCCGATATATCAGTCAAGTCCTTGTTCTCTTGGTGCTTATATTTAGTGGGGGAGATGATAATACCTAAGCAAATGAGTAAGAAAAATGTCGGGTAAGTACTATGCTGAGCATTAAAACAGGATGATAGGAGAGCTCCTAAGGATACTTTTATGTTTTGGAGAAACACCAAGAATTGCCACTTAGTGATATTATTGAATTATAACAGAATCGTAAAGCTAGTTGGTATCTAGGATATCTGCTTGGTGCTTTTCATTTATGAAAAAAGTAAAGCAACTTCGGTTCTAAAATTAAGCTGATAGTCGTTTATTTTAAATGTATTTTACTCTTATTATGTCCTTAAGTACTATATATCTTGCTTTCACTAAACACAAGGTTCTTTATTATTATATTTAAAGTATTTGGCTTGATACACCCATACACACACAGACATACTTACTGTTCAGGGTTCCTGCTATTTCTCTGTATCCTTTTAAAGTACAACATGCACTTCCCTCAGCAAATATGTAAAGTCAAAGAAGTATTTTCAAATTTATTTCTAGATTTCTGTTTTAGAACCATGAAATCTATATAAAAGGATAATTCAGTATATGCTAGTTGTTTATTTCAATGGGATTTAATCTGTAATAGGTTGATGTTCATTTTGTTATTCAGTTATTGCACAAATATGTGTTGTTCCCTTGGTTTGTGTCATACACTGTGGGAGGCACTGGAATGACGTGGATCCTAATATCCTCATGGAGCTTGCATTCTAAGTATGTGAACATACAGTTATACGTTATAATATGTTTCTTATTAGTAAGCTATCCATGAATATGTAAATACATACAGAAAGCTCCACAGAACATCAGCTGATGACTAAACAAAGATTTTAAAGACAATTTCCACCTGGTAGGCAGCTTCATGTAATTGAAGGGACAAGTTCTTATGAGCTAGGTAAACCTGGTCTTGAGGGACCAACAGTTAGCATAATGGCTATGTTGCTGGACTCCCATGTACTTGACCGCGGTTCGAGTCCCGGACCTGGTGGCTTAAACTCACGCCGGGCGCGCGTGTGTGTGTGTGTGTGTGCCCAAGATCCTGAGAGGAGAATGGGGGAGAAGGGATTGTGGCGTGGCCATCCCCACTGAGTGGGGTGATTTCTCGCTTTCTATCTCTCTGTCTGTCTCTGTCTGTCCAGCGCACGCGCCCTCTAGCAAAAACCTCTCCAAAAAAAGAAAAAAAAAAAAACAAACCTGGTCTTGAATCCTGGCTCCAATTATTGACCTATATGATGTTAAGAAGTCATCCTCTTTTTCTCCCCCCCTCCCTTAAAGTTTTTGCCATAAGGCTTGTGCACTTGCGCAAGAGAGAATGAGAGAGAGACATTGAGAGGGGAAAGTGAGAAGGGGGATGGCCATGCCGCATTTCCTTCTCCATTCTCTCGGGATTTTGGGCACCCATGCACACATGCCTAACTTGAACCGTAGTTGACCACGTGGGACTCTAGTGCTTTAACCACCACACCACCTTCTGGCCCACCAATCTCTTTGTGCTTGAGTTTTCTCATATATGAAATGGTGAGCATAAGACTTTTCTCACTGATTTTGGATGTAGATTTGTTTTCACAATTAAGAGATGTTATATTAACATCTCATCCAATACCTGGTACATAATTGTTGTCCAGTAGATGAGAAGGATGGGATGACAGTCCATCAATAAGGAACCAATATGTGAAAGACACTGAAATGAGAATCATCATAATAAAAACTTTACCAGTTTGTATTTTGGAGCGTAACTCAAAACTTAAATTGATTTAAAAAGATGAAGAGAATTTATTGATTGGTTTAAAATAAGACTATCCAGTGGCTTCATGATGCTGCCTACATTTCCCTCATTCAAAGATGTCTAGGGTTAGCAGGTGTCATGGATGTTAAGGCTGCTAAATCCCACATGGCCAGCTGCAGTTCTTGCTCTGGACCTGGTAGCTTGAAAAACAGTGCATGTGCCTGCGTGCCCAAAACCCTGAGAGGAAAGTAGAAGAGAAAGGATTGCAGGGATGGGTGTGTGTGTGTGTTTTGTGTGGGGGTGTGGCCATAGCCCCTGGGGAGTGATTTTTTTACTTTGCCTCTCTCATGTCTCTGATTGTTCCCAGCTCCTGGGCTATACATTGCCTTAATTATATCATTGATCCAGTGTTTCCAGAAGTTCTGCAATTTGCTCTGGTTGCGTTAGCTTAGGGCACCTTGGACTAGTGCCCTGACTATATATGTTTCGTCCTCACTTCATTGGAATATAAATCCTCAGATAGAGTTTCCAAATCAGCAATCTGGGATGGAAGGACCTGAAGCTGAAATAGAACCCTCAAATGTCCCCTGGAGAAGAGTGAAAGGATATAGCTCCCGAGGAGTTTTTTTCTTTAAAAAGTAATAATCCAGGAAAATAATTTAGGAAGAATAGTATAAGTATTATGGTTAATAATAATTTATTTTCTCTTTAGATGACATGTTAGAATAGAAAGAATGTGAATTTTCTAGCCCGATTTTGACATTACTGTTAGCTATCCTGACTTATGGTAAGGTACTCATCTAGGATACTGGCCTAGATCCATCTTTCATATTACTTTTTCTTTACTTGTAATGATAGGAGATGGTTGTTAAGAGGGTTAAATGGACATGTGCTTACTGAACACATCATACGTTTATTTTTTGGTAGAATTTTTAAAAATTATTTTTTATTTATTTTTACATTTTCTCACAAACATTTACATATGAAAAAATTTTTGCTCATATTCATAGTTCTTGACAGTTAATAAACAATTTTCGAAATGTAAAAAAACTGAATTTTAAAGATAATGCTCACAATATTTGTTACAATTTGTGACTGTAAAAACAGAGACAGTATGGCTTTAGATACTTTTGAGAAGGTATTCACAGTCAACGACTTACACTGCTGAAAAGCAAACACCCAGCATGCAATTCACACATAAACCTCAATTCAACCCTGCCAGTCCTGTCTACCAAGTGTTGTGTGATACATCATCTGCTTGCAAAGATCAGTCTCTTTTTCTTCCTTCAAAGTCTTCCTCAAGATAATCCTCTGGTTGTGGCTGCTCTATTGCAATTTCTACTGATTAGAATGCTGGGCTAGAAAAGTCCAGGTTATTTTATGGTGTGAATTCTTTCATATAGCTTTTTAAATCCTGTCTGCCAGGCAGAACTGTTTATAGTGCTAGGTAATCTTTCCAAGAGCTTCTGTTGGCTTATTTGAGATCTACCTTAGTTCCATAGTTTTCTGGTTTAATCTTCATATATGACATTACAGTCAAAGTCTTGTCCAATAGCAAGCATTTTCCAATTTCTGATTCAAGGCAACAGGTATTATTAACTTATGCAAATAACCATTTTGACTCAAAAATAGGAATACTCTCAAATATTTTCCAACTCCAGAGGGGTCAGGAAGGTAGAAAAGTTTGTTTCCATTTAAAGAAACAAACAAACAAGATGAAAAAATATTTTAACAAATTGCCTAACCTAGCAAAAGCTCAAAAGAAAGCAAAATCCTGGGACCAGCAGATGGGGTAGTGGTTATGTTGCTGGACTCCCATGTAATTGACTGTGGTTTGAGTCCCAGACCTGGTGGCTTAAACTCATGCCGGGCACATGTGCATCCTTGCCCAGGATACTAAGAGGAGAATAGAGAAGGGATTCCCGCGTGGCCATTCCCCTTGCGGGGGTGATTTCTTGCTTTCTGTCTCTGTCTCTCTCTCTGGTGAGCTCATGCATCCTACAGCAAAAATCTCTCCAAAAACAGAGAAAACAAAATCCTTAAATTGAAAAAACAAAGCATAGTAAAGAAAAAAACAGTAATGTTTTACTCTAAAGTCATAAAATTCTATGTACTCAAAAATCTATTTCAGCAGTTCAGTCTTAGGTAGGTAATTTTTCTTCTGTTGGATTTGCAGTGTTACTGTGGTCCGATCTTTACATTTAAATCTTTTAAGTTAACATTCAACATTATTGTCAATATTTCTTGTCCCTCCCATTAAGTTCGTTATTTTCTTGGTTGCTTTTGTTCTCTTATTTTTGTGTGTGTCTTTAGTTTTCCTGGTAAAGCAGAACTTCTTTAAGAGCTGGTGTTGGTAAATTCTTTCTGGTTTTATTTATCTGAGAATGTTTTTATCTTTTCTTCCCATATGATGGATAATCTTTCCTGGTATAGTATCCTTGGTTGAAATTGTTTTTCACTTAACACTTTGAATATTTTTTTCCCCGTTCTTTCCTTGCTCACATTGTTTCTGATGAGAGGTCTGATGATTGCCTGATGGGATAACTTTTATAAGTAACCCGATGTTTCTCTCTTGCCAATTTTAGGCTATGGTGTGCCTTGGAAAAAGGTCGTCTTGGGTTGATTCTATTAGGGGTCCTTTGTATTTCTTGGGTCTGTATATTTAATACCTCTCTAGATTTGGAAAGTTTTTCTTCTAGGATTTCATGGAATAGATTATCAATGTCTTTATTAGTGTATTCACTTTCTGGAATACCAATTATCTGGATGTTTGGGCGCTTAATGATATCTAGTATTTCTCGTTTAGTATTATCATTTTTTCGGTTATATTCTCAGTTTTTTTGGTTGATTTTTTTTTTGTTTTTTTTCCCTAGGCCAGAGGTTTTGCCTTCAACATCTGAGATTCAATCCTCTGCATGGGCTAAT